CAGCCGGTTGCTGTTGTGCAGCTCCAAGTCCTGCACGGTGCCTGCTGGGGACGTCACTGTCACCGTGAAGTCCCCGTTGCTGCTGTACGTCAGGGCAGCGTACTTGGCCAGGTCTTGCAGGGCCACCACAGTGTCCTGGGCATGGAGAGAGCACCAAGCTGGAGTCACCCCTAATTACAGGGGGTTACAGAGGTGGGATGCTTGGAGCAGTCCCATGGCCCCCAGTGCTGGTACCTGTGTGGAGGCGAAGCCCTTGTAGGGGTTTTGCTGCTTGATGAGCCAGCGGACGATTTGGGAAGCCATCCCCAGGTCAGCAGAGGACATTTGCGGCTGGGTGAGGTAGGCCAGGAGGACGTAGGCGGTCATCTCCACCTCCGCCGGCATGGCGGCAATGCGAGGCGGGCAGAACCTTCCCCTTCCTCCGCCAGTAGAGCTGCCCCTCTGAGAGAGAAGGGGGTGGGAGCTCAGTCCCCTGCTCTGAGGGTCCCGGGGGGCTGGATGGGGTGACCCAGGCAGAGGTTGGCAGTGCCCGGAGGTGCCCCTGCCCGTGCTGGGGGGTACCTGCGCTGGCGCTGTGCTGCGCCAGGCTCTGCAGCTGGCTTTGCTGCTGCTCCTCGCGCCCCGCCAGCCCCAAGACATAGGCGAGCAGCGCCTGCGTGTAGGGGTCATCTGTGGCCGAAGCCTCCAGGCACTGCAGGACTGAGCTGACCTTTGGGTCCTGGCATGGGACTGGAGTCAGGAATCGGCCCATGGGTGTGGGCATCACTCACAGACCCCAGTTCTGCCCAGTGAGACCAGTTGCACCCAGGTCTGTCTAGGAGGTGGCCTGGAACAGACAGACCCCCTGTCCCAGCACCCGTCCTCGGCCCACCAGCCTCTCCACGGAAAATGGGGTCATCCTCACCGTGGGGGACAGCCCCAGCTCCAGCATCGCAGCCGTGACATAAGCTGACAGCGAGAGCTCGTCTGAGACACCACCCTGCAAAGGGGACAGCGGGAGTCGGGTCCGGCCGTGCTGTGCCACTGGCACAGGGACTCCCCCTCTGCCCAGACTACACACCGGGGATGTGCTGGGGCCAACCTGGCTCTGGCTGCACGTCCCCATGTCCCACCCCACCGACCCACCTGCAGGGTGTTGTTGAAGAGCTTCCCCAGGCTGCGGAAGCAGCCCATCTCCTGCTGCTGCTTCTGCAGCCCGCGCAGCGCGTCCGTAATGTGCCGCTCGACAGTCACGTAGGTTCTGGCTTGCCCGAAGGACTTGAGAACAAACGCTGTCAGCCTACAAGCCAGAGAGACAGCGGCAAGAGGGGTGAGCGGGGCTGGGGCACGCGTGGTGGCAGGAGGAGCCCCGGGACGGCCGGGGCCCAGAGGGATGCGGCTGCACAGCCTGCCCCAGCCCTGCACGGTGCCTCACCACGTATTGCCCCTGGGATCGCTCTTCCCGAAGGCGCTGTAAGAGCCGTCATCATGTTTGTAGAGCAGCTCTCGCTGGTACCCTGCGGGCAGGAGATGGAGACAAGTCTTTCCGTGGTGGTCTTTAAACCCCTGGGGGACCCCAGAGGCAGCCTGGAGCCCAGACCCACCCCAGGATGCAGGTAGAAAATGGGGAGGGGGGCATAGGGCAGTGGTGTCCCTCAGCAGCCAGCGGGGTGGGACAGGGAGAGGAGGGGACCGGGGACGCTCACCACTTTGGAGGAAGCCCTGCGCCTTGGCACGGATGTCGGGGTGCAGCTGCCCGCTCTTCTCCAGGTACTGCTGGATGTAGATGTTGGGGGCGAAGCGGACCATGTTCTGCTCCCCGCAGCCATAGGGCATGGCCAGGAGGAGGTCCAGGTTCTGCAGAGCATTGCCCATGATGTCACCTGTCCCAGGGGGTATGAGAAGCACCATCATCAGCTGTGTCCCCCATATCCCCTCACATCTCAGCTCCATGTGGTCCCACCTCTTGCTGAGCTTGAGCCATGGAGCTCTGCACCCTCCATCCCCTGCCTGTCCCTTACCCATCACGGTGACGTGGGCTCGCTGGGAGCCCTCCAAGATGTTTGCAGGAACCTCCAGAGAGACTTCTTCAGTGACTGTGGGGATGGAGGGCAATGACAGTGGGGTTGCCCAGCTCCTCCTGGCTGGGCCCCATGGCACCTTCACCCACCCCCTTTCTGCTCTGACCCTCCATGGGCTCAAGGCTGAGTAGGGGCATGTCAGCTGGGAGCCTCTACGGATCCTGGTCCTTGGCTCCTCTGGCCTGGTGGCTCTCATGACCAGTGGCCAAGAATCCCTGCCCCGTGTCCCCACAGCACTGCCAGACACCCCCGGCCAGTCCTACCTTCCTGGCAGAGCAGGGAGTTGTGTGCCTTCTCCACCAGGATCTCCCCAGGCTGTGAGGAAGCAGCATCAGAGTCGGTCAGGGGAAGGGACCAGCTGTGTCCCCCCTGTCCCTCAGGGTTATGCCTGCAGCCTGGGCTCGGGGCTGAGTGCTGTCCTGCTCTCAGTCCTCCCACTGCACCCCAAGGGCTGCTTGGACCCTGTCCCCAAATCCATCCCACTTTCCTCCTCCATAACCCATCTGACCTGCACCAACAAGGGCTTTTATTTATGGTGTCCACACGCCCCTGGGCCGGCACCACAGGCATCTCGTTGCCACAGAGCTCCTTGGAGCTGAGGGCCTCAGTGCTGATGGTGATGTTCACCTCCCTTGCAGATGCAAGCAGGGCACTTAGTCACCACGGAGCCCCCCAGCTCACACCGCAGCCCCACGGGCTTGCAGCAGCCTTAGGGCTTTGTGTGGGGATAGCTGGATTGGGATGGGGGTCACCAAGTTGAGGAGCAGTCCTGGGAGGCAATGGGGAGGGTGGGAGTGGAGCAGAGGAGAACTTCCCAAGTGGCACTGCATCTGCTCGCATCCTCCTTGCCCACCCCATCCTCTGAGGGGGTCCCCAAGCAGCAGGGCAGGGGGTCCCACCACAGCCCCAGTGCTCTGTACCCAGGCTTGTGGCTCGCATGCCCCACCGGAAGGTCCTCGCTTCATCCATGCAGATACAGCCACCATATGCCTCATCCGCGCTCGCCGACACCTCCAGCTCCACTGACTCCGCCAGCGTCACCTGAACCTGCCGGCCCATGGCCACAGCTCCATCAGCCCCCGCCGGACCCCAGATCCAGAGCCCCCTCCCCAGCCCCGTAAGCACTGCTGCAGGTACTTGAAGACGGTGGCCACCAGGGGGAAGGCTTGGCGCCACGAAGAAGGGCTTGAAGGCTGTGAGGGTGGTGGCAGGGGCCAGGCCCAAGCCCTGCGGTGCCGTGCAGAACATCCCGGCTTCCCATGTGGTGATGGCATCGGGCACTGTCACCGTCACCTCCGCGGAGCCCCCCTCCCTGCAGGAAGGAGAACATCATGAGGCCATCCCACCATATTCACCCACATCTGGTGTCATCCCCAGATGGGCTGGCTCTCTCCCTAGGGGAGAAGGAGTGTCCTGATGTCCCCGAACTCCCTCCATGCAGGAGGGGATATAGGGAGAGAACCAGGTCCCACAGCCATGTCTCTGGGAAATACGTCTGGGGTGTTGGTGGCTCTTCCTGGTCAGCAACAACTGGGGTACCACGGTTCATTACTTCTGGGACATCAGTTAATATCCGCAAATAGGTGACAGGGTAATCAAAGCCACCTGGAAGAGGCAGAGCAGAAATTAGGATCCACAGGTCTCTGCATCTCCACTGGACCTCGCCTGCATGCAGCTTGAAGGTGGCCAAAATCCTTTTCAGTCCTCTTCAATCCCTTCAATGCCAAGTGTATTGCCAGGATGATGGCAGGAAAATGCTGAACAGGGTGGTGGGTCTTGAATGCTTCCAGGGTAGTTGAATTCAGGGAGTACTTTGTAGACCTGGGAATGAACACGTTCTAGGTGCAAAGCCAGGCAGGCATCTACCACCTGCCCAGGACTAGGACTGCCCAGGAGCCACCATGGCACCAGGTCCCCATAAGGGAGGTCCAAGCCAATGTCATCTCTTCCACCTCCTATCCCTGGCTAGACCCTGGGGCTGCAGAAGTGGCCCCGGGCAGTGCCACCACTCACCGCCTCTGTGTTGAGCTCAGCCTTGGACTTCAAGAGCAGCACGCTGTGGTCCATGGCACGGACAGCACACAGGGACCCTGGGGCAGCCTCCAGCTCCAGCCGCAGTGCTGAGCCGGGCAGAGCCGTGTCCTCTGAAAAAGCCATCTTCACCTGGGGAGAGACAGAGGCATCATGGGGCAAGGGCAGGAGGGGGAGCCACCTCCCATGGAGGAGCAGGACCAAGACACAGACATGGAGGTCTCTTCTAGACAAGGATAAAATCAGGCTTGAGGGTTTGGGGATCAGGGCATGGATTAAAGAGACTGTGACGCCGCGATACATTTGGAGCAGGATGGACCTCAGGGCATGAAGCTGTGGACAAGCCATGGAATGATTCCCCCATCTCCAGCAGCCTCCTCTCACCTTGTTGGGGAAGCACTTGGCCACCCTGAGCTCGGTGCTGTCAGCCACCATCTCGCCATCGGGCAGCACCGCGTAGCCCAGCACTTTGGCCGTGGGTGCCAGCTCGGGGCCAATGGGCAGCTCCAGGGAGAAGCAGCCTCTCAGCCCTGGGCTGTGGGAAAGGAGGGGAGGTGAGGACCAGGCACGGAAAGCAGAGCCCTGCACAGCCCATCCGTGCCTCGGGACCTACCAGCCTCTGCAGGCAGCTCTTTCCTGAGGATGGTGGCAATGGTCCTCTTGGCCAGGACCTGCAGAGGAGGAGATGGGAACAACTAAACTCATGTTTTGTGTGGAACCGAAATGCCCTGACAGAGTATGGACCCAGGGGCAAGAGTGCCGGCATGGTTTTTGACCTTGACCATTCTCCAGCCTCCCCTCCAAAACGTCTCCCATGGGCATGCAGGTCCAACAGTGCCAGCAGACACCCCTACTAACAGGCGTATGTCTGTTGGTCTAGCCAGCACAGATTGCTCATTTTGTTGTCCTCAGGGACACAACCATGAACACATGGGTAGACGTGGACCTTCACACACAACAGCCCTAACATCCACTGCCCAACCTCCATGAGCTGGGGCTCACCAGGAAGACCACATCCAGGCTCTCCAGCTCAGTCCCTAAGGCCTCCTTGCTGAAGATGTAGTCCACCCAGAGCTGCTGGGGCTGGCCGCAGGGCAGCTCGCTCTCCAGCCTGTGGATCCACAGGAAGCTTTTGCTCTCCGAAAAGAAAGGGCTGAGGTACGCATAGGCATTTTGGTAAGTGAGTCGTTCTGGGTGTGAGCTGTCTTGTTGACTTGACCCTGAGTGATGGAGGTAGAAATCAGGGTGGTGAAGCCACCCAAGAGCCCACAAGGTGCTGGTCCCAGTGCCAGGCATCACTGATGCAGGCTTGGAGAGGTGCCCAGCCCTGTACTACTGGAGAAAGCAGCACAGGGACCCCTGAGGGGTGGGAGATGGGTCACTTACACGCAGGGAGACCGTGCCACTCCAACCAGAGGTCTCCAGCTCGAAGGAGGCTCTCCCTGATCTGTCTGTCAGGAAGGTCTGTCTTGTATCTTCTCCTTGCTGGCTAACGACAAGCAAGAGCTGCTTCTGCGGCAGCACGGCACCGTCGGCTCCCTTCAGCAGCATCTGCATTGGGAGGGAAGGGGAGATGCCCCGGGTTGGGCTTCAGGCGTGGGGAGAGCAGGGTTGGGGGTCAGTGGGACTGGGATTGGGTGCAGCAGGGTGCAGGGGAGCCCTGTGGGGTGCAGGGACCCCCCCCATTACCGTCCCAGTGTAGGGGATGCCAGGCTTGTAGAAATCATTGGTGTTTTCGAAGGTGACGGTGAGGATTTCGGGTAAAATCTTGCAGCTCTTAGTGCTTTTCAGCTCCAGCCCTGTGGAGAGGGAGTGAGGAGCTGAGGGTGTTGTGGGGACACAGGGCACAGCTTAGCTGCTGCCAGCTCTCCCATTGTGGTGCAGGAAAGGTCCCTGGACATTTTAGGCTTTCCCTCTGCAGCCAGCAGCTTCGAGCACAGTTCACACCTCCTACAAGAAGAGCAAAACCTCTACAGCATGTTTTAGACCTAAAGTCAGGCACAGCTTGCTGCAGAGACTTCACAAAATGTGCTTCACCAGAGCACCATAAGGCAGGGCCACCTCGGTGCCGGTGGGCCTGGGACAATCCCTGATCTTCTCCTTTTCTGAAGTTTACAGCCCTTTCTGATGAGACCGAGGTGGTGGGGGAGGTGGATTGTCTCAAAGAACGGAGCCACGCCACTGAAGCGGGCGAAACCACTGCTTTACGTCGCAAGGACTCGACTCATTGCTAGCCATAGCGTCAGGAGAGTTGTTGGATCTTGGAAAGGCATTTTTGCCTCCCAACCATTTCTCTGGTGAGAATTCGAAGTATTGCCTGGCTGACCTGGCTCACATCCCCGCCTGGACCCAGTCCCTGCACATGTGCACCTCTAAATCACAACGTTGCTTTTGGGCTTCCCCAGAGAAGACCAATACTCCGTGCCACGTGCACGTGGGTGCATGCGGGGACGAATGCAAAACCGTGCACCAGCAGCAATGCCCCTGCCCAAGCAGAGCATTGCTGTCCCTACCTGTCCCATCCTCCACCAGCGATGCCTGGACTTGGATTTGCTTCCGATACATGGACCTGGTCAGGTTGAAGGCAGCCAACAAAACCTCTGTTGAAAAGCAGCCGTTCTTCTCGGTCTGGAGGGACAGAGTCAACCCCGTTAGCAGCAGTCCCAGGAAGGGGCTGTCCCAGCGGCACCCACGCTCCCCGGCAGTGCTCACCTGCCCACCAGCCTCGGTGCAGTTCATCTTTTTCTGGTTGGCATCGTGAAGTCCATACAGGATCCTCATGTGCCTGAAGGGCCGGCACAAGCTGGCCTGGACCCTCCCCTGGATGGGCTTCCCGTAGGTGTAGCTGTTGGGTGGAGGGTGGTGAGGGTGTGTCTGACGGACCACCGCATGTCAGATCCCCCATCCCCTCCCTCTTCCCAGCGCAGCCTGTTTCTGGCTCACCATCCACAAATCTGCATCTGGAACTTCTCTTCCCCCTCCAGCACCACAGCAGGGAGATGAATAGTCATCTCAAACTTGGGCAGCACTGATGGAGAAGCAAAGGGAGAGAGGGTTGTCACTCCTAGGACAAGGACAACGGTGCCTGGGTGGCCAGGGGGGCCAAAACATGCTGCCCACAGGGACGTGCCAAGGTGGGGTTCCCACCCGCCTGCACCTCCCAGTCCCCACGTACCATATTCCTCGACGCTGAAGGAGTGGCTCTTCCCCTCCACCTCGATGAGGTACGTGCCCAGGGCCGGCTCTGCAGCCAGCGGGAGGGACAGGTCCACGATGCCCTGCCGCGGGCTCACCTCCCGCCACTGCGCGATGCGGTTCCCACTGGGATCCTGCACACAGGGTCACGCGCTGTTAGCACCCTGGGGAGCCCAGCACCCCACGAGAAAACAGCCCACGGCTGTGTTGTGCTTTTCCTCTCCCAGCCACGCTGCCTTCCCAAGCCCACACCACCCAAGAGCCTGCTTCCGTCTCTCAGACTGACCTTCAGGAGCACAAGGGGCAGCTGCAAGGCAAAGAGAAGATGGTTAGAGGAGAAATTCAAAGCCTTCCTTGGGGTCTCACCAGGGTGGGGACATCTTTGGAGCCGTGGATGGAGTAGAGTGAGTTATTTGTGGGATGCTGTGAACTTCCAACCTTTCTGTTCACTTCTGTTCAGATTTTGAGGCTCTGGGTGGCTCTAGCTGGGATGAGCCAAGGGCACTGCCAGCATGACATGGAGAGGTGGCATCTCCTAGTGCCTTCACAAGTGACCAGCAACCATTTCATCTGGGAACCTCCTGCATTTCCAGAGACCCAGTTGATTGCTCAGGAGTGCCAGAGACTGAATTCGCCTGTAATCCCGGAGTCTGATGACTTGATGGGTATCAATATCAAAGCACTTTCCCCGCTTCCCACTCACCATTGCTATGTCCCTAACCAAAAGTTTAAGCGGGTACGTTCCCATCTCACACCTGCAATTCTGTTTTCTCTTTCCTTAGCCTGCTGAAGCCTGTGTGAACAGCACAGGGCATCCCTGCCCCTGGGGAGCGCAGGCACCCAGGCAGAGCTGGCTGGGGCAGAATTCCCGAGGGGAAAGGTGCTGGCTGACTCCCAGAGTTCTCTCACAGCTTGCTGAGACTGGAGGAGAGCAGTGCCGAGGAGCTCTCTGTTGCCTCCCCAGCTCCCCCAGTGCTGCTCTCACCTTCTTATTGCTGGGAGTGAAGTCTTTATCCAAAGAGACAATTCGAAACTTCACTGGAAAAAGCAAATGGGAATGCAGGAGTGAGTGGTGGGTTCATCCACAGGGAGAGGGGTTCCCCATGGGGAAGGTGGATGGAAATCCACGCCGAGCCCCGCAGTGGGGCACTGCCCCCCAAGCGACACAGCCTCCAGCACTGCCAGCATGCCCTGGCATTGCCCTGGGCCAGCGCTGGGGGTCCCAGTGCATCTCAGGATGAGCCCTCCTATTTCCAGGCAGCGTAGGAACAAGTCTGAGCCTCCTGTACCCCTCTCCCACCAGGTTCTTCAGCCCAGAGCAGAGTGGTCCCTCCTGCCCCCCTCACCTTGCTGTCCAGGCTTGTAGACAGTTTTGTCTGTCTGTATGAAGATCCCAGGCTCCAGGGCTCTCAGCATCACCTTCTTCTTATCAGAGACATCCAGGGAATCTCCCTGGATTGAGATATGCAGGTCTACGATTTCCTCCTGCCCTTTGGAGGGGGATGGCGCCTGCCAAGGGAAACGCCAGGCACCAGGTGAGGACAAGGGACATGCTATGGCCAGGATGCTCTGCTCACTCCAAGTGACCCAGAGCACTCCCTGCCCACAGGGACATCTTCCCCAAGTCAGGATCTGGGAAGAAATGTCCCCCCAACACCCCGTCCTAGCCCGCAGATCTGCTGCCGGGGGATTATTTCAGCCACTGAACAACTGGGCTGAGCCTAGAGTCATTTTGCCTGCGTGGGGGATGAGACCCTACAAAAAGACGGGGAAGTCACGCCCGCTCCCATCCTCCTCCAGCTGCAGAGGCTTAGGGCTGCGCAGCAGCGTGGGGACCACCGCCCCATGCCCAGGTGGAAACTGCTCTGCCTGGAGGCAGCGGCGTGCCCAGGGCATTCCCCTCCACGCCTGCGGCTGTGCATGGGGTGACACTCACGGGGAAGGTGATGTTCAGGTACAGATGAGGCTCCTGGACCTTCCTCTCCGGCAGGGTGATGCTGTGGGTCCTGTCTGCTCTCTGCAGCTGGACGGTCACCTGCGCGGCCTCGTGGAGGCCACTGAGATGGACCCACAGCATCGCTGTGTGGGGGTAGTAGATCACAGCTGGGGATGTGACCACGTAGTGTCTGGCAAGGAGAAGTGCTGAGATGAGAGGCGTGGGGACGAGGCATATCCCGGGACAGTCCCCACGGAGGCCTGAAGAGCTCCTGGGCACACAGAACCCTGTGCTGGGGTGCAGGGCCGCCTCCCCCAGCCTGCCCGCCCTGCTTTTGGGTTCCCCTTGACTTCCCGGCTCAGCAAGGCGAAGGCTTTGCTCACGCATGGCTGCAAGTGAAGCAGCACCTCCAATAAACCAGCCCAGAGCCACCAGACCCCCCAGCCCCCGGGCGCACCGAGTCCTCAGTGCTTGTGGGCAGGGACAAGCCACCACCCCGAGCATTGAGCGTTTCCACCCTGGCCAAGAGCCACATGCACGGGAAGGATTGTCACCCACTAGATGCTGCCAAGGAGCCAAGACTAAATGCCCTCCCACCAGGCACGGACAGACAGACAGACAGAGAGGGCTTGCAGCGCTGCGGACGCCCCAGCGGCGAGGCGCAGGATGAGG